TACAATGCCTGGGCCGGACCACCAAACCAGCTAAGAGATCCTAGCTTTCCAGGCTAGTACCGGAGTCAATATTTAATGTCAACCCCCCTCTCATCAGATTTCACTCTTTGTGTTCTGTGCACTGCTATGCATCGACATTTTTTATTTTTTTTTATTTTAAGCTCATAGTTAACTCATAAACAATATTTTGAAGCAGTGGCTTCTTTTAAAAATATATTATGTAATTTTAAGTAACTAACAAAAATTTCCAATTTAATAATTTGTCACATGGAGTGTTATAATCCCCAAATGATAGCAAAACCGAGTAAATTGAGAGTAGTCCCTCACATCGAGAATAATATAATAAAATATAGGCAATTCCAAGCAGGGTAATGTTTGGCAGCACTATTTGTGACCAGCTTCCCTAATATGAAGCTAAATAAGAGATACCAATGAGAAAACTCCTTTAACGATGTTTTACGGTCAATCATGACATTATTATGAGTCTTGTTAAAAAGAACAAAGGGTTTAATCCTTTTTTACTTCGTGAACGATTATGAATAGTGTTCGTTGATTTGAAATTAGAAATATATAATGTACTCTTGACGGAAATTAGAGCTGAAAGTAATAAAGATTTTTTAAGAATAAGATATTTTAGCTTTGATACAACCGACTGAATCAATTAAACATAGTTAATGCAACAATAATTTATTTCTGTCATCTTCAAACCAAAAAAGATTAAATATTGCAATTTTATATTTAACAGCACGTTAAATTTGCGATTACATCTTGACAAAGCAAATTTCATTGACAGCATTACAAGCAATTATAATACTGTTATCCATATCAAATATGTATGTCTAATTCGATTCACATTGTCATACATCAACTACAAACATTTCCAAAATAAAAGATAAAGATATTTGAACATCGCAATTGCCCTTTCAATTCACTTACTACGGTTGGAATTGAACACTTCTATCTATCCCTATCTCCAGCCGGCAGCGCGGTCCGAGTTGGCACGCAAGTTGCTCGCGCGCGGCTCCCGAGGTCAGTCAAAGTGCAAAGTGCTGCGAAGGCCTGGCCTACTCACTGCCTCCCCCTTGCAGCTGTCGACGTGAGTGCAGCTGTGAAACTCAGGGCCCGGGCGGCCGTTTCCCCCTGCGGGGAGGCGCGAGGCCCTACCTGCGATGATGCAGCGCAAGGTGAGGCGGAGGGCGAGGCCCGGGGGCGCTCCGCGGGCGCCCACCCAGCGCGCCACCGTCGCCACCGCCGCCGCCACCTCCAGCCCCGCGCGCGCCGTCGTCGCCACCAGCCACGTGGCCAGCAGCACGCGGCTGCCCTGCGGGGGCACCCAATAGTTTGGATTTACATTTGTTGCGTCGCCATCACGACATAAAGCGTCTTCGAACCCTTACTGGGCGTTGAGCACTTTAGGAGAAATCCTCAGTTACTTTATTCATTTATTGGAGTAATCCTCCGTTTCTATTAAAGTCTATACTTGAATAGAAGTAGTTAGTGCGTCGTTGTCCAGAGGACCGCCAGGTAGCATTTTCGCGTACGCGCCTCCTACTACTCGCTCCTGCGTCACTACCTAGCGGCCAGACAGAATTGGGAAGGAAGTAGGATAGAGGGGTTAGGACACTTCGCAGGGGTTGTACTAACCTTTGTGAAGTAGGCAAATTCGTTTTGTCGGAAGAAATTTCACATGGTGCTACGAGAATCGAAGGCGGACCTCAAAGCGAAAAGCGTGAAAAGTGAGCGACTTCGCCCTGAGCCACCGCTTCTATTTATTGTTCGAATTATATTTCTGTTGACTTGACTGCTAGCGGCTGACTGGGAAGATGTGGTCCCGTTATCCAATGAGAGGCTTCAAATTCGGCTGACGTCACTGCAGGGTTGTCGATACTTGTTAAGAAATCAATGAAATCTCACAGCGTGAAACAACTGTAATCTGCAGAGCGGCGTTTCTGCGTTAGTTACGCATAGTGTGTGCAGTTCGGTGTCTTCTACTGTTGTGTGCTCTTATTGTTATTTGATTCTTGCTATGTCGTGATGTGGCGCAAGAACGACCACATGACCACGTGTGTGCCACCCGAGTTAACGGCAACATCGCTCTACTGACCCTCCCCAGCTGTCAGGTAGACAGAAATAGTACTCGAACACAGTGCCTCACTTTGACTTATGCGCGCCCTAGACTGTCAAATGTTTTAGCGCTCTTTTTTAAACATGTTTTTTTAACATCTTTTTATAATATTTTGAATAAATATTGTACAATATTTGTTACCGATGCCAATACTGTGTATAAATAACTAATTATACATAAAAATAATTCTTATCACGATATTTATTCAATACATAAACGAAATTATTGTATCAATTTTACAAGTATATATCAATGGCTATTCTTGATTTATTAACACTTTGTAAATAACAACATGCCAAGGCAACTGTTTGAGCCTTTCTGGAGGCAGTCCGATTGGGTTCTGTAGTTCACCAAATCGGTTGACAAAAACCCCAAAGGCACTATCGATCACACGACGAGCGCGGCTGAATCGATAACGGAAACTTCTTCTCTTCACATTTAATCCTGCTCGAGGGTAGGGTTACATAAAATGTCCTGTCATCCCGAAAGCTTCATGTCCTAATAAAATGAATGGTGATATTTGCCGACTATGCGGCAGTTGTACAGGTTCAGGAATTCTCAGCGTATTATCTGCAAGCGCTTGCCCAAGTTCGTGTCGTCAGATATTCGCCCATTTATTCCTACATCAACCAAGAGTTTTTTATAGTTGAAGTAAAGTGATCCGGAATTGTAGAGTTTCCTTATTGCGACATATTTCCCATCGACTTCTCCCAGATAAATAGGGAAATTCCACTGATCGACGAAATCTTATGCAATTTGTTTCCATTCTTGTTCTGTAGTTGGTAACTGCAACAAAGAACAACAACTTTGTACACAGCAACACACAATTTCCAGGTTCTAGCGAATTTTCGATGAACAAGAAGCTACTGTTCTCATTTTAAACAATTTAAAAGCCCATTTCTAAAACATTTTATTCAAATCCGTTTCATAGTTCCCCAATAAAACCCTAAATGGTACACTTTTTTTCATAATTATGTATGTATGTTAGGTACTTCATCAATGATATCCTATTTGAGTGACAAATGGGGACCTTACACCGTAATTCGGTGCAAATTAATACGTCACGTTTGTCCACCCCGTACAGTGCTCCCTCCCTCCCTTCATTCGATCTTCACAATGATTCAGCAGAATGCCACATATACTTATGTCAATTTCTATGTTTTATGTTTTCTAGCCAATGTATGCCAAAATTTTGAATGCTAAATAAATATTGATAAAGTTGGCAAACGTTCTTACTTTAATGTATTCCTTGAGGCAGTTGATCAGAGAAGCGACCTATTGACTGAGGTGAAACAGTGGGTAAAATCTTCAGATATATTCCCGGTTGAAAGATATCGTAGGGTTATGGACAAGCGTTGACTTACAGGAATAGCATCGCGCATGACCGTGCCCCTTTTCTCGATTTGAGGAGTAACCTAAACAACGAGTTCATCGAATAATTCTCCATTCACGCGTAAAAAGTTGCGAAAGTCAACTGGTTCAATTAGTCTCTGTTCATTCAGTAACTCTTTGTGGGTGTACTTCTCCATCTCAATGAACCACAATTTTGGCTATTTTCTATCTTTTCGCGAGTTCTTCTTTTTCGCTCTGGCGGCCACAGCAATCATCACACAACACCATTCAGTACCACTCAACATGGCTTCACTTTCATGAAATTTCTTGGAAAATGGGACTGGTTCTACAATATATTGCCATGTGGTGTACGTTTGTGTTCGCGATTGCGCAATATATTGCACAACCACCAATATCGCCTCCATACGACGCAATTATTTACACAAACCAAAATATTGTACAATAATAATGCCCGTCTAGGATCAACGTCCAAAACTTTGTGCAACCCACATTGCACAATAATATTGAGCGTCTATGGGCCCCTTTAAAAGAGCTGGAAGTTTTGGGGAAAAGATGAATAATGCTTGGCGACTCGCGCACGTGAGCAGGGTGACATATTTTGAAATACGAACAGAGCATAAAGTAATGTTTTCTTTTCATTGTTTGTGCTAAGTTATTATCGTTGTTATTGTTGTTACCTAAGTATTGTTTAATATTGTAAATAAATATTTTATTTTGAATCTTGAAAATGTGTTTTTTATTTAATCAAACGATAACTTACCGTACTCACGTTTACGATATATACCCTAAAATCATCGACCTTGAAATAAATAACGTATATTTATGTTTTTATTATTAGTGGATTTATTTCACGAAAGGAAAAATTAGAACCATCCCAATACGGATATCACCGTCCTCGACCTTGCACTTCCTCTGCGGTTGCGGTCCCCGTCCGGCGCTCGCTATCCGAGCAGCCAGGAATTTCCACGCGGTCAATGCTATTATTTTGCTCTGTGGTTTCCAAACTTTGTCAACATATCTTTCTTGGCGAAATTATTGTATAAATTGAAACACAAAACAAACTGACGCAATATAAAATTCTGTGTGTTTAAACCCCAAAACAGAAGAAATATTGATTTTTTTGTTTATGAATGTTTGCAAAGTATAAACCAAGACTAATAAGAGAAATGAACATGATCGTAATCAATATCGTAAATATAAAATAGATCAACGTGTCATAGATAAATTAAATGATTTAGTTGTTAAAGTAGAACACGTTGGTAAACAAGTTTTTATATCTATTGAACATGATCATGATAAATAGTATCTAAAACATGATTTTGATTATGATAATTTATTTCCAATACCAGTAACACCATCACAATCGTCATTTGAAAAAAAATGTATTATACACAGTCACCAGATGCTCCAAAAAGATTAGAATTTGAAAAACGATTGAAAGCAATAGAAGAAGAAAAAATGATCATTTAGGTCAAAATTAACTGATATCTTAATATGTTAATTATCTGATTTCTGGTTTCAGACTTGTAAGGTAAATACTAAATATATTAGAGATCGAAGGTGAATTTAATCAAAGAAGGGAAAACTATGGAGGTATTGGTGTATTATTAGATCATTAACAAATAAATCAGTTAACAAATATTGAATTATACGGACGAGAGTAGAAAATTATAAAGAAATTGCAATTAAATTATATTTAAAGATTAAGATCCAGATACTAATCAAGTTCGATCAAATATTGGAAAAAATGGAATAAAATATTTAAAGGATTATGGGCTGAACAAAAATAAATAAACAAAGAACAAAATCAGTTGCTGAAATGATGTTATTAAATACGAAGGTTGCCTTTTGTTGTTTCGGGATTTGGTAACCCTGGTGTTGCAATCTGGCCACTGACAGCTCTATCGTAAAGTTGGATGTTTTGAGGTTATAC